CCAGCCACGTGGATGACAGGTTGAGCGCTGGCTGCCCCCATCCCCGTGTGTCACAAGGACCCACTTGCACGCAGCCAAAAGGCAAAGAGGTAAAGAAGGGGAGGAGGAAACCAAACCTGACAGGGAAAGAAAGATAGGGAAAGAAAGATAATCCAATTATCACAAAGCAAATAACATATATATATATATATCGTCACAAACAGAACTGCCCGGTAAAACCGTAGGCAGAGAGAGAAATACACAACAAACGAGGGGCTGTGACAAACTGTTTCGTCGGAGTTTCACCGACTCATCAGGAGGCTGAACCCTCAACAGTCTGCAGAATCCCCTCACTGATTACACTGTAAATGATAATCTACCTTAACCAAAATCAAAGTAGACTATCACTCAAAACTCTACAGACTGTCGGTTCACACCCCATCACAAGCCAGCAAAACATCCACGAAACAAAGAAAGGTCTGTCACAGCCAAAAAATACACTCCAGACACGCCGCTGATATATATGTAGTTATATACAGTTATATAGTGCGTGTGCGCGATCTGTGTCGCCCATTAGCGTTCAAACGCCCTACTCTCCCTCTTCGCCCGTCAACAAAGGTGATCCCTTGCCGTCTCTCTTTCGCGCTTTTCCCTCCCCCACCCCCCGCACCCACCCCCACATCCTATCCCCTTGCCCACCAAGCTCTTCATCCGTCATCCTCCCTGTCCTACCCCTCCCTTCTCTTCCCTCTCTATTTCGTCAGTGCACAGGTGCTGATCTCTCGTAAGAGAATCGTTTGTATATGGCGATGGAAACTTCCTCTCTCCCCACAAATGCGCAGAGGGGCAACCAACCATAGAGCCGACGGAATTGGGAAGGTGGAAGAAGGTGGAGGAAGGTGGAGGAAGGTGGAAGAATGTGGACGAAGGTGGAGGAAGGTGGAAGGTGGAAGAAGGTGGAAGAAGGGAAGTGCTGCTCTGAGATCGGGGGTGTGCGACTAGCAAACAAGGAGAAGAAAAAAGCAAAACAGAAAGAAAAATGCCAAACGTGTAGTTATATAATCAGCATTTTCCCGCCAAACAGTGATCTGGGCTGTGTGACTACCGGTAGCGGAATAAGGAGAAGAAAGAAGAAGGCCTACCTCATAGTTAGATAATCAGCATTTTCCCGCCAAACAATGATAAGGGCTGTGTGACTCCAGAAATAAGGAAAACAAAGAAGAATACCAGTCATCTAAGTTTAGAAGCATTTTCCCGCCAAAAAACAAAAACAAACCAGCTTCCCGCCAAACAGTGATCTGGGCTGTATGACTATCGAAATAAGGAGAAGGAAAGCCAGAGAGAAGGAAGAATGCCAACCTTGTAAAGTTAACAAGCATTTCCCGCCAAGAACAAAGAAGAGGGAAACGAAGGAGAAGGGGATGTATAAAATAAAATAAAAAAACACCAGCACGAAGATGTGTTCTCGTCTCTTCTTCCCGTTCCCGCCAAACAGGAAGAAGAGCGAGAATAGCACAAAGCCCACCAAGGGGCGTCGCAGCACTGCTCTCCAAATGAGCAAAATGGGGGCACACAGAGAGAGAGAGAGAGAGAGAGAGAGAGAATGTGTCTTCCGCTAGAACGTGGAAACATACGCTCGCCATAGCTTTTTTTTTGTTATGGCGAGGGCCGAAGACTCACGGAGGAGGAGGAACTTACAGAAACTGACGCTGCTGCTGCGCCTTCACGGCCAGGCGTCTGCGACTGCCCGCGGTGATTGTCCGCCTCCTGCGACTGCCCGCGTTCCGCCCGTCCGCCGCGAGGAGGTCTTATACGAGTGCTGTGAACAGGGGAAATAAATTACATCTCCTAGCTCACCTTCCTCCTCCCTCCTCCTCATGCCGGGCGGCTCCTGATAAAGGGCAGTGATGAATTTGCGACACGGTGAGTTATGGCATCGCGCACTCGCGCGAGCGAGCGAGCGAGAGAGAGAGAGAGAGAGAGGAGAGAGAGAGAGAGAGTCGCTGCAGTACTCTCCACAGAGAGAGAGAGAGAGAGAGAGAGAGAGTCGCTGCAGTACTGTCCACGTGCACAAAAGACAAAAACGATGGCAACGAATCTTTCCATGTTCTAGATGTGGATTCAGTCTCATTTTGCACATTGGGAGATTTTGCGCGTTCGGAAAGTAGTGCAGAGAGGCCCAGAGAGGGAGGGGGAGGGGAGGGGGAGGCGGGAGAGAGAGAACGAGTTCTGCAGTGCAGTTTGAACGAGACCTGGCTCCACTCCTGCCGCTTGATCAGGGGCTACCGGTAGGTCCCACTAGCGAAGTACCTGAATCTGGATAGGTTTTTCTTATTAGAGATGCAGAAGACCAGCTCAATGAAGGTTTTCTGCATCTGTCCTTAAACACGTCAGGATTCAGGCGTTAAATGCCCCAGGGAGGACGAAACAACGCGAAAATGCGGCGAGAAGGCGCTCGCTCTCTGGCCGCGTTTTTTAGCACTTTTTTTCTTTTCTTTTCTTTTTTCCAAAACTATGGCGTTTCTCTCATCTATCTCATTTTCCTCGCTAGTACTCATCTATCTCAGCCTCTCACTAGTGTATGGGCGTCGCTCTACTACTCTTGAAATGTGCAAAACGAGAGTGAATCTTCCGCTAGAATATGGAAAGATCCGCGGCCATGATTTTTGTCTTTTGTGCATGTCTCCCTGTTATACAGGTTGTGGGACGCTGGACCCGGTTTCCAGCAGGTGCAGCTCCCCACCAATGGAATGGAGCCATCCGCAAACAGCGGCCGTAGAGGGGGTGTCTGCTCTTACCAGCACCTCCCCTACGTCCCATCGTGATGTAGTAGTGGGGAACACCAACCAACCCGGATCTCTCCCCAGCCCAGGGGGTAGGTTGGCACCACAGGGGTGGTGCAAGAGCAAGACTGTACCAGTCCCTCATCACGGTGACGAGGGGTGGGCAGGCATTGCCGATGGGGGAAATTGGTGGTGCTAACGCCGAGCAATGGCCAGTCACTGCACCTCCCCCTACCCCCCCCCAAACCCCACATGGCGGTATCTAATGGCCAATATTGTCGCTGCATAGCAACCAACAACATCAACCAAGGTCCTGCCAATGCTGGCTTGGGGGGCCAACGGGTTACCTCTAGCTGGTAGAACAGGCACACGGTGAGTTATGGCATCGCGCACTGGCGCGAGCGAGCCACAGAGAGACAGAGAGAGAGAGAGAGAGAGAGAG